ATATATACATATATACGTACATATGTGCCTTTGCCCTGCCAAACCATGCATGCGCGTGCTTGCGCTCCAGAGATAAGCTTTGCAGTGAGATCGGTTGCTTGTCGCCCTGTCTCTCTCACACGCCACACCACGGGCCGAAATTAGTCTCTTGCTGTTGTTGTTGGTGCGAGCACAGACATGTTCGATCGTGCACGACTCAGAGCGACACAGCCGAAGCGCAGGTAGAAAAAGTTCCGGAGTGAGCTTCGTTATTGTTTATTGTTCTTTCTTCAGCAGGCCGATCGTTGGCATTCTCTTTCGGATTTTTGACTCTGCAGGGAAAAGTTTGTATCTAGCCGAAGTTTGGTCTGCGTTGCATGCTTTCAGCTAGTCTGAAATGCTCTCCCTGCCCAAGCCTGTGGTCAAAATCATAATACTCTGCTGTGATGGCCATAAAAATCTGCACCATTTTTTCGTTGATGCCTGGTTCGGACTGTCAATGGCGGCTGGTGGCCATTGTTGGCTGGCACGCACGATATCTATGGGTGGCCAACGGAACTTAATGGCTTTCACAGGTGTTTCCCCGCTGCTCACACAGGTGTTGCCTTCCATTCCACTATCCACTACCCGCTGTCCCCTATCCCCAGGCAGAGCAATAAAACTTTATGTGCACTCATTATGCACACCCCCCACTCCCACTACCACTCCTGCCCCAACCGAGAGGCATTCCTTTCTGCTCTACCAACCGCATTGCATACTCGAGGACTGCCATTAGCAGTGCATACTTTTTTTTTTGGGGAAGCCGACAATCTGTGCACTGGGGGCCGTAATTATCACTCCGGCAAGTGGATGGGCGATAATGACTTGATTCCAGTTTGGCAGAAGGTATAAATGGGTATTAATTATTATGATTATGGCTGGGGGTGGACGTGGATGTGGCTGTGGCCATTGGGCGAAGACACTCAGCGATTGCCCTGGCACATGCCATGTTTGTGGGAGTGGACCTTGTAAGGAGCTACAGGCTACAGCATATTCCCGGCCCCCTTGGCATATTCGTTGGCGTTCATTCAGGCGGAATTTGGCAAATGCCGAAAACTTCAAGGGTATTACATAAATGTTGGCCCTGGCCAAAGACTTCTAAGCATATTTTGAATGCCAACCAAATCCGCACCGCCCTCTGGCCCGAGCCCTCTCCGCCACTCTGCATGCTTTAGCCATGAAAGTCACTTCCAAAGTTCAAGTCAATGTCGCAAAATGTTAACGGCGCGTTAATAATGCGATTAGTGGATGCTACGGACCCATTCCGATCCAGCGACCCAACTCAGAAGCCGCCCCTCTCTACCCTCCCGTATGTACATGTCCCCTCCAAGCGCTCAGCCCCATTTGAATGCCGAGGAAACATTTGAAAATTGGCTTTAATTGGTAAAATGTTTTTGGGAGCAGGCAGCATGCCACAAAACATGAGTTTCATTCCCCGCCACTTCTTGCAACTTGCAGGCGAATGAGCCAGGCGCTAATTAATACATTTCTTGGGGATTTCTCGCTTCGTCTTGTTCGAAAACTCCCTCGTATAATTATCACATGACAATCGCCTGGGGCATAGAATGTGCAAAATTTCTACGCTAATACGCCAAAGAGCACCGATGGAGGGGGAGCTCCACACCCCATCCCCATCCCCAGCCCAGTCCCAGAGAGGGTGAAAAATCCCCGTGAAGTGATGCCTTCAATTACATTTGGTGTTGCTGTCGGCGCCAATCCCCTGGTAATAGGATATTTTCAATTTCCATTTCCTCACTCGCTCGCCCGTATATTTGTCAGTTTTGTTGTATTTGTTTTAAGTTATGGCAGACGGCTCTCTCCAGAGGTTACATTCATTCACGTTTCCATATTCTATGCCTTTTTTGTGAGTGTCCAACTCCCTGGAACATATTTCATCGATGCGGCATCATACTCGTACAAATATACACGTATTTGTTGAGTTGAGTGCCGCCACAGGCCTAGCTGGCGGATTGTCAACCCGGAGAAGAGCTGTCCGGGGTCGTCCTGGTCACGTAATTGAGCCGTACACCAGCAGCAAGAGCGACAGCGAGGAGAGGCCTTCGTGGGCAATAGAATATGAATTGTATGCACAGAAATATGACGAACAATCAGAATGTATTCCGTAAAAACCGCAACACAGGACCAACAGCTGAGCCAGAGATTTGTTTCCACGGCAGTGCCAGTGCCACTGCCAGTGTCAGTAGCTGGTCCCAGAACAGTCGCAGGTCCACCATTGGAACATCGTCAGCCAGTTGGGGGCAACAGCGAGTTAATGGAAATGGAGCCCGCTGCCCGGTTTGGGGTAGGAAAAATCGCTCCTGGCCCGAACCGACGCAGACACAGTCACAGACGACGACGACGACTGATGGAAATTTATTGCTGGCAACATACCCAAAGGGATTCGCAAATATAATACTACATCCACAGCGGGAAAAGTGGGCGGTAGCTGGAGCCAGGATCAGCAAAGCGGAGGCAAGGCTGCATACTAACACGTACCCCATGTCATTCCGTTTGCCTGCCCCCAAGCCACTGCGATCCAGCTCCGCCCGTTGGTATGCCAACATGTGCCACTGTATCTGCGGGTGTACAGTTTGTGCGCCGACGAGGCAGTGACAGGAGGGGGCGGGCAGACTAAACCTATGAACAATTTCCCAAAAGCATGAGCAAAAAAAAAAAAAAAAACAACATACAAAATGCGGTTTTAGCCGTTGAGAGAAAATCTGTACAGAGAAAGAGAGAGAGAGCCAGAGAGGAAAAAAATCTGTTGGAAAAATATATGACAGCTAAAACATGTTGCTGCCACTGCCACTGCCGCTGCCGCTGCCACACCCCCGCACTGCAAACTGTGCTGCAAGCACGCACTGTGCATATTTTGTTATGAAAATTTAAGTGAAATCACTAAAATGGCAAACAAAACGGCAAGATATGCAAAAATGCATGCAGCAGATAGTCTGTGCTGGTGGATATATCTATGCATTGCAGTAGACATGCCACCCCATGCCACCCCATGGTATCCCTGAGGATAAGATATATTTATCAGGGGAGCGGGTTTGAAGCCCTCGAGGCGGAAAACAGCTGCTGTTTGTGTGTTTGCTGCTGCTGCTGCAGGAACTTATGAAAAATTGTTGTCAGTTTATAAAATGGTGATGCAGCCACTGCGCATCCTTCAAGTGCATCACGTGCCCCAAACAGACAACTGATGTTTCTGCTGCTGCTAAAGGAGAGAAAATGGGTCAAAGAAAGTTTTTGTGGCTCGTGCTACTCAATAAACATTTGTCAGGGCGGTGCAGCAGCAGCAGCAGCAGCAGCAACCTTCACCAATCTTCAGCCACATTCGGTGCGTTCCGATGTCAATTGTTACGTTTTATTGCCTTGTCCTTTGCCTTCACTGCACACACACACAGAGTCCTCTGCGGACAGCAAAGTTAACGGCAAAGGTAACTGGAAAACGAAGAAATTTATGATCAGTGACAAAAGCACATTCTCACCTTTGATATACCTTTACTGCTTTTGCTTTTTGCACCTTTTTCCACTCGGGAAAGTGCGCGGGGGCATACTGAATGGGGCGGTGCAGATTCTGAGCCGGGATAAGGGCGGGTCTGTCTTTCGTTGTTCTGTTTTATTGAGCACGCCCTTTCGCTGCTATTGTTGTTGCTGGTTGCTGGTTGCTGGTTGCTGCAGGTGTACCAGCTCCACGCACACTCTAAAAATCCCAACCAAAAGCCCCCTCCTCTCTCTCTCTCTCTCTGTGTGCCACGCATCGATGGCTCTTTTATGCGCTCCGCAGTTTTGTCGTTTTATTTTGAACAGTTCTTTTTTTTTTTTGTTGTATTTTTTGCACAGTGTTTGCCTTCGGATTTTTGCGATAATGGAGACAAATGTTGTGCTCTTAAATTTATCGATTGGTTGGCCAAAAGTTACCAAAAAAAAAGGAAAGGAAACGCAGCGAAAATATAGCCCTGGTTGGAGCTCGTTTTTATTACACTCCCGCAGCCCACAGCACCGCCCAGCCACCCACACATCCATTAGTATTACTTGCAGCTTTAAGTTTTGCTCTCTGCTGGCGCACCTGAGTTTTCAATTCATTTCTTGTGTGTTTTTTGCACTGCCTAATAGAAGGAGAAGGCAAGCAAGTGGCCGTCGGCAGACAATGGACACAACCCGCCTACAAGTCCCAGATAAACTTGGGGCAAAAGATAAGCCAACTATTTGTGCTGGTCCTTTGGTCCAGAAGAATCCTTCTTTCCGCCTGTCCTTTGGTCCGTCTTTCTGCTTTTCCTGTTGGCCCCCAGCAAAGAGTTTTCAATTGAAAGTTCTACGCTTTTTGGCGTTCCTCCAATGCCCTGGGGCCCCATAACGAGTTATTAATTGTGTTGGTGGTGGGAGGACACTCCGCTGGAGCATGTGCAGCGGATTAGTGGGCAGCAAACCATGCCAGCGGCTTAGCGTTCTGGCTCAGCCCGCTGACCAGCGCTCTGCACAAATGACCTACCACTTCCACTCTCCCTCTCTCTCTCTCTCTCTCTCGCTATGCTGCAGCATCTCTTGGAGTGCTTTTCGCTTAGCGGTTCAGTTTTTTCCGCCGGTTCGTACCCGGCGGCTTTAACATTAAACACCACAACGTGCTCGAGGACCACGGCGCCAGGATTTATGCAGCGTTACATTGGCATTAAAATAGCAAAAGGGGCTTACCGGGGTTCATATTTTATTTTATTTTATTTTACTTTATTTTTTATACATATTTGTGCGCTTTTGCCCTCGCTCTCCTCGCTCTCTTTTGTATTATGTAAAAAACATAAATGCAACTTGCGTTGAGTGCTCGGCATGAATAGAAAAAAACCGAACGTGCACCTAGCGCGGAGACTGCAGACCCACTGGGGTGCATCGTCGTCATTGTGTTCAGAGTCGGTGGCTAAATTAGATGTGACTACAACATGGGTGGGGTGTCGTAGGTGGATGCCGTGTGGCCACGAATCACTTACCTCGATTTGAAATGGCGGCCTCGGCTGCCCCACCGCCGCCGTGGGTGAGCAGCAGCCATCCGAGGCTAATTACAATCAGAATGGGGCAATTCATTTTGAGCGCTGTGTGGTGCGTTGTGCACCTCCAAGGGGCAGCAGGGTCGGCAGTGCCGGCGCCAGAACCTATGCTACGCGAAATTATTTTCATTGTTTTGCGACCGAGCCGCCGTAGGTGCAGATGTTTTTTTTTTTGCTTTTGCAGTTCCTTTTTCTTTTGTGATTAAATTTTCTGGAGTTTTCCCTCTGCCTGGGGTTTGGCGCTTTAAGTTTTCATTTCAGCTGAGCGCCAACACACTTTGCATAGTCGCTGCTGCCAGTTGCTGCTGCTTTATTGCTTTGTTTAATTTGCAGTTTATTTTTGGGGCTTTTTTCTTTTTCTAATTAGAAGTTGAGCGCAAGACCGCAGACTGTGTCGTGTGGGCAGGGCGCTTTCGCTTTACCCTTGACAAATTGTGCGGCGCTGAAATATATTTTCTAATTAATTTTTATTGCGCAGCGAGCCCTTTGTTGTTGCGCCAACCAGCTAATTATCACTGTGTGTATGCTTCCCAATTTCCACAGCAGTTTCGCGACCGAACTGCAGCTCTGGATCTGCAATAAATAAATAAATAAATATTAGTTTCAGTTTCAGTTGCAGCAGGAAATTAAAGTCAACTTTGACTTCAAACAGGACGAAGTTTTGGCACACAATTTGTGCACTTCCACAAACCATTTGTAGTCTGCCATTACGCCATGGATATACCAATGAACACTCAACGATTGGCAGCATCAAATAAAATATTCAAATAAATAATTTAAATAAAAAATTAAAAAAAAAAAAAAAATTAAATTTCTTGTAGATTATTTCCGCTTTCACAGCCAATTTATGGGCAAACACATTTTTCTTGGAGTGAGAGTTGAGGGTATCCAGTAGTCGCTATTCATTTGGGCATCCCTCCACCGCCAAGTGCAGCGCTCGAGATGGTTTTTTGGTGCTCCAAGCTGGTGCTCGTTGTGTGTGTGTGCGCGTTGTGTGTGTGTGTGTGTGTGCGTGCCCCACCCACAGCCACATATAAGCTCACTCGCAGGCACACCGAAATGCGTTTGCAGAACTTCACTGACACGCAAAATTACCCCACAAAGTGCAATTAGCACACAAGTTAAATTATAAAAGTTCCGTTTTTTAACCTTTTTCCCCGAGTCCTGCTGCCTGCTGCCTGCTGCCTGATGCCTGATCCTCACACACACACATGTCGCTGCATAGGAAAGTAGACTGCTATGGGCCGAAGGGCGACGTAGGGCGGACAACCGAGTAAACAACACTTCAAGAGCAAAGTCCAAAGCCAAATAACAAATTGTTGGACCTCAGAGTTTCCCCGTAACCCTGCCCCAACCCCACCTACCCCTTCATCGTCACCCACTTGTGCCATATTTAATGACAAAGTTTTGCATAATTTTATGAGCTTGCAGCTTTATCCTGGGCCATGGGGAAAGGGCAAAAAAATCAGCTAGAGCAGAAAAATTCAAATTATTTCATTATCACTTCCGTGCAGGATGCCGTGCAGGGTCCCCGAACTACATCGACTACCGTCGGCCACGTCGGCCCAAGCTCAAGTCTCGAAATGGCCAGACAACAAAAAAAGTCTCTCCAACGCCATAAAAACAAACTGCGAGAAGTGGACAAGGTCTGGCGCGACTACAAGTGAAAAAAAATTAAGTTATAAATTTAGATTAACCCATGCAACGGCCTCACTTTCACTGGCTCCCCCCCAGGACAAGGACTGGCCCCGACGGGTACGCTTGAAAAGTCCATTAAAAGTCGCACCAAATGCCGGCGAATCGAAGGATACACAGACATACACAGCGAGAGAGGTGGGTATAATTATCCATCGCTTTCATTATTACCTCGGGCACTGGCATCAAGTATACGCAACGTGGGCTCATATCCTGGAGGAGCAATAAAATATTAGTATCTATGTGGGTCTGCACTGGCCTACACTCGTATAATTACTCAAAAACGTTGCTGCCCCACTGAGTGCCACAGTGTGGGGGGGGGGGGGGGCATGGAGCAAATGCCAGCAAAAGGCTTTTATCATGTAGGCGGTAAATAGCCGTAAATAAACAGGCAGCGGCACATAAAACGGCAACAAAAGATGCGCCAAGGACAAGAACAGAGGGACGTTGTCATCGCCACCGCTGGCTACCGGAACCTAGATCCGGAGCTGTAGCCAGGAGATGGTCCTCGCCAAGGTTATCATCAGTTTTATGGGCTTTGGGCCTACAGATTTTTATACGAGTGCCACATGCTGTGTGCTGGGCCGGGCTGTGGGGCTTCGTGGGGCCACGGGAGCATTCCTTTTATTTATGACACCCGACCGAGCACAGACAGCGCATCAGCCGCATGGCGGCTACAAATTTCTCGTGTCGCGTTGCTCGTTTGTCTTTCAAAGTTGATCTCTGAGTCCCCGGTCACAGACGGTCTGGCTAAACGTTACAACATCTTATCGGTTGCGGTTGCGGCTGCGGCTGCCGCCATAAAAGTTTAATATTCTAATAAAGCGGATTTAATTATTTAAAAACAACATTTGAGAGTGCGCCCGGACGGGCGGCGGTGGGACGATTTTTAATTTTTACGCGCTCCATTTCGCTGTCGCATCGCAACTTGAGTCTCGCTCGACTTTTGCCAGTTCACACGCCTCGACTTTCGCCACCAAATTGCACTTTGCGGTACAATTTCCACAGCTACTCGCACTCCAACTTTTCCCACCGAGCAAAGTCGTAATTAGTTTTTGCTGGTTTCACTGTGAAACTGATTTTCATTTGGCAGCGGGAAACTAGATCCGAGGGAAAAGAAGTATCTTCGTCTTCTGTCTTCTGTCTTCTGTCAGCTCTCAAGCCCCGTTGCTGCGGTCTACGGGCGGAACTTTCAAATGGGTTAATTGCATTGTAAACTAAACGAACAAACGGCAAGCAAGTGGCACAGCGCAACTCAGCAACAAGACAACAGAACTGAACTAAGATTCGATTCGAGCCAAGGAGTAAAGAGTTTTCCCTCTATCTTTGTATCAAGTGCATCATTAAAATGAGCAAAAAGGGAAGACCTGCAACCATGCAACCTCATCTGTCGTCCACTGGCAGTGAATTATTTGCAACGACGATGACAGGCGACTAACGACAAAGTCCTGTCGCTGGGGCACCACATTGTCATCGAAATGATTAACAAGCCAACTTCCAGCACAAAGGCCGCGACTGGCAAACAAAAATACAAAAAATAATATAAAAAAATGTATAAAAAAGTGTGTGCTCGAGTGTGAGTCCTTCTCACACACACAAAGGCGGCTGTGCTGGCTCTGGCTGCGTGCAAAGTTCAAGCTGAAGCACTTGCCACAAGCCTGTGCCGTGGATTGACACGGCAACAATGTGGCAAGATGGCTGACACACGCAGGCAGAGGCAGTAGCAGTACCAGAGGCATAGCTAGAGCTAGAGCCAGAGCCCCACCTAATATGCAGTTGAACAAGTTTTAATGAAAAACGAAGAAGCACGAAGATGTGACAGGAGATGTTTGCATGTGGAGATCCCAGAGTCCCGCTCGATAAAAGATTATTAAAATTTTCCAAACGAATGGCAAAAGTTGCGCTGCAGCAGTTTGTCAAAGGTTCAAAAGGTTATCTGCAGCACACACACACACTCACACACTCACACACTCACACACTCCTTGACTTCCACTCGACTCACGTGTGTGTGTGTGTGTGTGTGCGCGGGTCTACAAAGTTGACAGACATTTTCCACAGGCAAGTGAAGCACCCATCTAGCACTCGAGTGGCATGCTAAATCCTGTCGCCCAAGGCTTTAACTTTGGGTTATCTTTTTGCATAGCTTTAACTTTGAGTTACCATCGTGGAGGCGGTGAAAAATTTCAATTCTGTTTAACTTTTCGGGGGCACTGGACAATGCCCAGGGCCATGAATACGCATACTCTCGCTCCTGCTCGTGCAAGTAATCTGTGCATATATTAAGGCGTTTCACGTCTGCTTTAATATGCAGCAGCCCAGCCCTATCTCTGGCACAGGAACCAGGGACCAGGGACCAGGGACCTCTGCCTCTTGATACTTATGCATTTTTGCTGAAGCAAACATAATTCGTCTATTATGCAGGAAGACAGGCAGGCAGTCTGGGGAGCCTAGGCCTGCCACAGGACATGGACACCGAACCTCCGAGCAGCAGCAGCAGCAGCAGCAGCAACACATCCATCTGAAGCTCTGAAGCTCTGAAGCTCTGAAGCTCATGGAGAGTTCCTGCCTCGGCCCGTATTCACTTGGCAATTACTGCTTTATTTATTATGCCGAAATGGATTATCCCTTTTAGTGCCCTGCGATGCAATTTCTGCTTGTGCTGCTATTTTGTGCCCTCAACATTTTTTGCCCCTCCATGCCGAAGCTCTTTCCGTGCAGCCTTAAGCCCCGTTCTAACCTCTGACGCACCTCTCTCCATTTCTCGCTCTCTCTCTCTCTCTCTCTCTCTGTGTGTGTGTGTGCAGAGCTTTTGTTATGCTGTCGCCCAAGTGGGGAACATGCATGGCAAGGCACGAGACTCTGGCGCATGGACTCTGCGGCAAGGCCTATGCTCTGGCCTGGCATTTAATCCAGTGACAGGCAGACAGCAGGAAAACCTGCTACATTTTCTATTTAAATGGAAAATGTACCAGCGGCAGAGGCTCGCTCTCTGCATAAATGTGTTCGATGCACACAATTAAATTAAACAAAATAAGCATTTGAAATTGAAATTGAATGGAGCACTGGGGCCAGGCTGGGCTGGGCTGGGCTGGGCTGGGCTGGGGCTTTTCAGTGCCGTTTAAATGCAAATTCAAGTGCTGGCTTTGTCCCGTGCAGGACAACTCGCTGAATACACATTCGGGGCAGCCGCACGGCGACATTTGTTTCAAATTCGATGCACACCAAATCCATAAATCAAATCAATAAAATGACAGCATGAAAAATTGCCAAAACACACAAAAAACAACCGCAGGGCAGGCAGGCGGGGCTATCCAGCCATTATTCTAGAGTTGGAAAAATTGGCATTTTTCAGAACCAGAGAACTCGAAACAAAATCCGCAACCGCATTTGAATGGCAATCAGCAGTTAGGTTAGGGCCAATGCCACACAAAAGCAAAGGCAATAATAATAATAATGGAACAATGTTCGTACAATGGGCGGTATGCAGGGGAAACGTTAACCTTTCGACACCTACAAATAAATAAATGGCCAAGTAAATATTGTAAACAGCATCCGAGTAAACAAAACCGAAACACACAAAAAGAAGGAACAAAACATGAAAGAACATTTGGTATTTATCGAAAGCCGAAGCTGTTAATACTCTAGCAGTTTTATGAGCTTCATGTGAGGTGGAGACACATTTGGTTACAGTAAATGAAGCGAAAGACACGCACAAAGTGCAATCGCAAACTCATAGACTCTCTCTGCGTTTGCTTGTGCTCGGGAGATAAGCATTGCCGTTCATTGCCTCTCTCTCTCCCCACCCGCCACACAGCATGCCGATATGTGTCCCTTGTTGTTGTTGCTGTTATTGCGCGAGCAATCGTGCACGAAAGAGA